ATTATTTGCCATAAAGACAGAGTAATGCCAATGGCCAAAAATTACAGCCTGCTCACCTGGTCACTTCCACACACTGCGTGGGTGTATGACTACACAAGCCAAACCAAGCTACCTACTCGTATTAAAACAGAACACGTAAGTGTCCAGTCATTCCTTGGATGTACTGCGTTGTTCACTCCGTCATGGTGCAAAACTCGATCTTCGCCTGCATAAACAAATCACGACGCGGACATATAAATCCACTCCTGCCAGTTTGCACCGGACACAGATGACTCTACGCTCTGGCAAAGATGCCTTCCAGAACACTACTCACCACCCTGCTGGTCCTGGCGTCGGCGATCCTCTCAACCAGGGCCCATCCCAAGGCCCGGGAGGAAGAGCTCAAGGAAACGAAGAGAAAGCCCGTCAATGATACTTATGATGATCTCCTAGAAAGTGCGCTGGCTGAGATTAGTATACCAGAAAAGGTGGAGACGCCTGCAGAACTCAATGAGGAGAGCATAGCGGTTCTGAGGCCTGCATCACCTAGGTGGTGGAGAAAGTTCCGTGAAAGAATCCGTTTGACCGCCAGGCGAATTGAGAGGACCGCCAGACGGACCTGGGATAACCTGAAACCCTTTTTGCCCTTAATTTTACGCTCCTTGCTTCCTGCACCCGCTGCCTAAAAGTTTGCTGTAATTTTTATCTATGGAAAGGACCGTTTTTAGAGGTCTCATTTGCCTTTGACGTATAACAATGAATAAACTACCTGTACGTTTTCGGTAGCCCGACTCCCCCTTTCTTCGCTAAGTTCCGCTAATATTTGGTCGATTTTTCCATTTATAGGCATAAGTTACCTGACTAACTAGAGTTTATGTTGATGACGTAAAGTATATTTAGTTCATTTAAAAAATTTATAAGTGACCCTAATTTAATATAATTTCATCACTTTCAACACATTTAAATATCCATTTACACTTCTTAACTAACAAGTAAATGTTTGACCAGCGATTTCGCGTGGCACTTGGACGGGGAAATAGATAGGTTTGCCTATATTTGTGTGCCTTTTCACAAGATTAACGAGCAAACGGGCATGTGGGAACAAAACTTTGCTATATTTCGGTCCATTTTTTTCCAGAGGTACGCAGTCGTCATGAAGACTGTGCCTATGAGTACAAAAACAGGGGCTGAGATGGCGGCTCAGACACAATTTACATTATCGGCTGGCTTGGGCAGCTGCAGTTCGAATGTGAACAACTGGTTAGAATAAACTTGCGAAAATTCCCATCAAGGAATTCAGAGGAGTACGTGGCGAGCATACGTCTACTTTCGATAAATTCTCATTGGGCCAATTACATTTATATGGGAAGGGATAAGAGTTACATGGTAAATTGCAGGTAATTATGGTCATAGTTACCGGCACATTAGTCATGGGAAGGGGGTTGGTGATAGGCGGCTAGCTACGCGGCAATAGGGGGGGAGAGAGGGAGAGAGAGTGTGGAACATGCCGGTTGTTATGTGGCCGTTAGCCATGCTAGGCTCAGAACTTGCAGGAGGTACTTCTGCGCGCACAAAACTGGTTTCCTTAACCGGATGGCGGTTGCTTCAGCTGTTGCTAGCAACCGTTGACCCAGGGATTTTGGGTAATTTTGTGGGACCTTGTCAATAACCCTGAAGGCTTCGTTGGGGTCCACACGATGTCCGGAGTAGACCATGTGGGCAAGAATAGCACTGTTGATACTCCTGACTTCACCTTTACTCAGCCATACTGAAGGGTACTCCCCTATTCTCTTGGATAAACGCCAGCTCGTGCGACCGATATAACCTGCTCCACAGGAACAAGTAAATGAGTAAATGCACATAGAAGTGGTCTGAGCTGGCAGCCTATCCTTGCCTTCGCCGTGCAGGACTGGGTTAGTTGAGAATAACACCCAAACTTTCGCTGCTGGGAAGGTTCGTGCCACGGTTTGGTTGAGGCGCATACTTAGGAGTTCACTTGCTGCATCCCCTTGGAAGGGGACTTTGATGAACAGCGTCTTCTTCTCCACAGTGTGTGTAGTGGGTTTGGTTTCTCTTTCCATCATGTTCTTTTGGATGAATCTGTCAGGATGCCCGTTCTCTCGAAGCAGGTCCTGGATTCTCTTGAGCTCTATCTCAATTGTGCCTGCCGAGCAGATTTTTCTGGACCTTTTAATTAAGTAGCGGACTAAATTACGCTTCTGTTGGATGGGTACGAAGCTGCTAAAGATCGTATACTGTCCGGAAAATGTTTTCTTTCGAGAAACCTTCCTTTGGACGCTACCGTCAGATCTTCTGCTTAGGAAGACGTCCAAGAAAGCAAGCGCACCTGCCGTTTCCACCTCCAGTATGAATCTAATAGAGGGGTGTGCCTGATTGGCAGTGTTAAGAAGCGCATCTACATCGGTTTCTGCTGGAGCAATAGCAAAGGCATCATCGACATAGCGACCATAGTGTTTTAACATATGGATCTGGCCGCTGAGTTGAAACTTCGCCAGCTTGCCCATGAAGATATTGGCCGGGTGAGGCCCAAGGGGCGAGCCCATGGCGAAGCCGTCTATTTGTCTATATAACTGGTTGTCAAACCGGAACTGCACATTTAGTGTGCATCTTAGTAGTAGTTCCATTGACCCAAAAGCTTTAACTCGCTTGAACCTCGTATTAAGCTTAGATCTAGGATGGGCCTTCTAACATACTCGTGCTAAAATAGACATTCGAAGAGCTATAATTCAAAGGTTGTTATTCCATATTTGAAAAACGAATTTATCCGTGCAATTTTCCGAATCTGGTCCCTCCACCCTATCAACAGCCAAAAAGGTGATGTACAAAAGGCACGTAGCTTAAAGCAGGGCCGTATTCAGTTACGCTGGCCTTGGCCAACTCTATGACCTCAATATGTGCAACGTGCCTCTACAGACTAGTAGTATCACTCAAGAAAACTACTACTAAGTACGGATGGGAAAAAGGTGACTGTGCTGGCACATTAAATTTCTGATCGCTGTTTCAGACATCACAGATACACAATTCTTGGGTAACCTAAAGGGCTCAATTTCATACTAAATAAATTCATTAGACTTTGGCTGTCACGCCGTACGTATTGTCGAATTTCAGCTACTATTACAAAACAAAGACAATTAAATGGAGAGTCCTTCAGAGATATTCAAGTCCCGTCTGACGGAACAGTCTACGCGCAGCGGTAACTAAAAGCCAACCGGTTACCGCATACAGTAGGCTGCGTTGTAATGTTGCCGAGACCAATATGTCGGCGTCCAACTACGCTTTGTTTGAATCCCCAAGGAAGAACACAACGACAGAGGCACAAAATTGGAAGTCTATTAGCGTACCTGTAATGGGTCGTGCCTGGCCGACTAGCTCGCGTCGAAGTGCACTTTCCCAAAGGCTCACCGATGCGGTTTTTAGACCTCTCGATCAACCAATCGCAGTTCCCGCATCTACGCGTTTTGGGCCAGGCGACGAATAGCAAGCTTGCACGCGTTCCCGAAGCAAACTGCTTCTTTGCCCAAAATCTCCAGGCCAACCTAGCCAATGGACGCGCTCTCTCTCTGTCTTCTGGCCCGTCTGCTCTCAAACACTCACTTGGGACCCGGTCGATCTCCTTGGTGATCGGGTTCTCCTAAGTCAATCTTCTCTTATCTATTCTCTTTTACTTTGCGTACACAGTACATTCTTCCCACTACTCTGGACTTTACCGACTTCTCTTCAACTAAGTAACCATGGTCTGAAGATCGCAGTTGCTGGGTTCGACTCGCTTTAACCCCCTGTGATATACCCAGTAGAGCGTACTTAAGGCAAGCAAAGCGTGTACAGGCATGTCCAACTGGACCAATCACATTATGCCCTCAAGTGAGGAGCACTGCACTGACTTTGTGAGCACCCGGCTAGCGTGTTAGAATACCTGGGCGGGCCACAACATGCGCGGCACCAAATGCACTGTCTGTGGGCGGTATGGCATAGGAGAGATTCGCCAGGACTGCCCTAGTAGCAAGTGCCGGACAAGTTGACAAAATCCACTATAAATCCGGCATATATATTCGAATGTTTCTGGTAGGATTACATGATGGAATCCGCTTGCATTTGCTACTAGGCCCCTGTAGCAAAGGAGGCTGTCATTTTTTATCCCTTCTCATTCGCTCAAGAACCTAACATGACTCACCCTCTTACAAGTCAATGGTTCGTCTGTCATGTCGCAACAACCGGTCAAGTGTGATAATCAAATTTTTCATCGGTTTCACATTCTTCTGACGGCCATTGGTGAATTCAAGAGCCACGATGAAATCATGATTTTCCCAGCAGACGAAGGACGGGCAACCGTAATCATGCGCAATATCAGCTCTCCGGAGTCTACATGATCCACCACCCCC